GAGTCACTGTTCACTCAGCCACAACTTAAGCTTTAAATGCTCTGCTAAATTCTATCCTTTCTGTCTTTTTCCTAGAAACAGTACGACCAAAGACACCACCCGTAGCGATCAAATCTCAGCTAAAGCCTCAAGAGGTAACATTATTCTCCAGTTAAGATTAATATGTGTATTTACAGCATAACCATTTTTTATACTTTAAGTTTTTTAGGTGCATATGAGTTTGGCTAACTCCAAAATTGCTTCACAAAAAGCCCTTAAACAAATGTACTGGAGGAATCAAGAATTTGGCTGAAACAAGGTTTAAAATGGTGGCTGTTTGAGGACCTTCAGAATCCTGAGCAAAGGAGGTCACCCTTTTGATCAAGTGATTGCCTATGATTGGCAAGTTCTAGCTGAGCCGCTAAAGTGCAATTTTCCCTTCCCCAACCCTGTATCACAGCACTTCCTCTCTTTGGGAAACTTTGCACTTTACTATTGTTGATTCAAGTATTTTATTTATACCATTAATGCCAGGTGTGGGGTGGGATAGTGGAAAGGAATAGTGCAAGGGCATAGCTCAGTGCTGAATTTTCCAGCTAGAAAACAAAGGTAACTGTTTTTGTAATGTTGGCCAGCACCAGGTATGAGGAACCTTTGACCCTCCAGATGTTGCAGGACCTTCAAGCACACTGCCCAGGCTTGCACCCTGGGGAGGTCACTTCAGTGCTGCTAACAGTTTGACTTCATCCCCAGAGACACACTCCATTGTCTCTTGAGACAGATGGATGCCAACAACCGCTCCCACTATCCCTGACAATGTCTGCTGGAACTGATGATGCTTAGCAACATGTGGAGGGCCAGAGATTCTCCACATCTGACTTTCTGCTGCATTGCATATCTCCTAAGAAAGTAATACAGAAGGAAAATGAGGACAAAATGACTTTGTCTATCCCTTCTACCTGCCATGGTGATTCTCATGAAGATAAGCTATTTTACAAATTCCTATTAGGCCTTTGTTCTGTGTAGAGATTCTGTGCATGTGACCTCATTGGTTTCCCTTTCACTATAGGGAAACGGTGCATAACATTAAGGAGAAATGCCCATGATATTACTATATATATACACTTTTAAATTCCTTCATCATCTCCTGTAAATAAAGATTTCCTTCCTTTCTCATCTCCAATTTAAGGAGGAAGAAGAAATTTCAACTAGCCCAGGTGTATCAGAATTTGTGAGTGATGCTTTTGATTCATGCAGCTTGAATCGGGAAGATTTGAGGAAAGAGATTGAACAACTTGTACTTGACAAGAGCAAGGAAACTACTACAGTAGAAGGTAAAAAAAACCCCAATGTTTTGCAAATTATGCTCCCTCTCATTATGGGTATATTAAATTTGTAATTATATTCCATATTTGAATCAAAAATAGCTTTAGAAATATCCCCTTACCCAAAAAGGATAGGCTATCTGAAATAGTAAGATTTATGCCTTTATTTGCTTATTTGATTGATTGATTGATTTAGTAAGTTTCTATACCACCCTTTATCCAAAGCTCACAGGGTGGTTTATAATAAGCAAAGCTAGAAATGTGTCCTGTTCTTAATACTGCTCATCTTCCCTGCATTCTGAAGTCTTGAAGTATCTTACCATAATTGTTAACAGCACTATCCTTTATTTCCTGGATTGTGGCTGAAGCAGAATGTGCAGGAAACTGGTTTTGCAGATTTAGAGTACTTGGATGTCTAGGTTTATAGAAGTGCATACCCCAAGGAAGAGAACAGTGTTGAAAAGGAAATCTAGATGTCACTAATTTGGGAACAGCTTTTTCATACAACTTACACCCAAGTAAGGGTTTTATTTCTGTATGTGCTCAGCTCTGGCCCTTCCAGAGTATTCTTTCAATTGGCATGCCTTGCATGTGATTAGAGAATCTTGGACACCGGCAATTCCCAAATGCATAGCATTTGGAAGACATTTTAGTCAAAAATATAGCAGTAATTTCTTGATGTACAGGTTTGTTTTCTACACGTTCATGCTTAAGAAAGCTTGGAAATGTGAATGCCAAAGAGAACAGAGTGTAAATTGACAAAGTAGAGAAGTATTTAAACAATTGTGATTTCCCCTTACTTGCAGTTTGAACTGGTACACAACACTTTGTTGTGTGGGTAGACTAGTCCTTATGAGCAAAATTAGTACTAAATTAGTGCAACATTTATTCAGCCCTGTGACCTGTATATGTTTTGTTTTTAGAAGAAACTGCAGACTGGGAAAAGGAACTACAACAAGAACTTCAAGAATATGAAGTAGTTGCAGAGTCAGAAAAACGAGATGATAACTGGGACAAAGAAATAGAGGAAATGCTACAAGGAGAAAATTAACCACTTTGCATAAAAGTTTTTTGGAAACTGATGTGAACCCGTTTTTATACTTGCTTCAGAGACTTTTCTAAGGCATAAAATTGCTCTTTGTGAAAGAAAGAAAGAAAGAAAGAAAGAAAGAAAGAAAGAAAGAAAGAAAGAAAGAACGGACTCCAGGTGATACGTAATCGGGTGTAAAAACAGTTCTTTGAAAGTACTGTTAATCATCCAGTGGCATGTGAGGCAAGTTTTAAAAGTTAATGAAACAACCAAAGTTGCTGGAAAATGTTAACTGGATAATCGGAAGTGAATTTTAAAAATAATTTGTGAGCTGCTTTCTGTACTGGGGTAAAAAATTGAAAACTTCTAACCATATTCCTACAAGTAATAGGAAGTCATGTTAATATTTTGATCCCTTTGGCTCATTTATAAATATAAGTTCATAATACATCTAGGTATTAGTCCCTTAATACCATATATTGTCTTAGAAAGTGTTATCAGGCTTTGTCTATAGCTTTTTTTATCTTAGCAGAACCTCAGCACCTAGACATCAAAAGCGGTGAAGGTTTAGAGTGATGGTATGGTGTGGCTAATCAAAAATTCAGTGATTCAATTATCCTCACTTTAGTCACTAGACAGAAAACAATGACCGCTCAAGATATACATAAATGGCACATATACTGGCTCAGGGTTCACTTACTTTATTGGGATTTTTTCACTCCAAGAATAATAGAGCATTTTAGAAGAAAAACGGTTCAGTTCTTCTGTTTAAGATAAAAGTATCTCTTCATTTAATTGCTAAAATGTATAATATACTTTAGAGTGAAGCATAGGTTAAAAAGTAGAACCAAAGTGTAGCAAGAAATTCAGGCTTGGCCTGTGGGTGTGGTTGAGTAGTGCTATACTCATAAGTGTTAAATGTTTATTAAGGTGTGGGAGGAACACTGTAGTGTGAATAATCAGAAGTCAAAAGATGACTGCCATCCTACACTGACAAGACAACACTACAGCTGGATAAAGGGGTCAGAACTGAATGGAAGGTAATATGTTATATTTAGCAGTGTTGCAGGAGACTACGCATCTAACTTTGGGTCAGTAATTGACTTCTGTTGCCTTTGTTTAAAATGTAAAGTACTAGGAACTTGATTTTTGGAGCAAACTGCTGGAGAATAAACTGGTTACTATTAACTGAAATGATGGTTGCTAAAGCATAAGTTAACTTTGCGTGATGTCCAGATGTAAAGAATTCACGAGACATCTTGTCTTACTAATTCCCAAATAAAGATTTCACAGAATCATAAATAAGCTGTTGTTTTCCTACAGGAAATAGCTTGGTTCTCTGTAATACATGAGCAAGTTATTTGGCTTTGTGTGAAGTCTACACTTCTGAGGATCATTATGCTAATGTATATAGTTTAATACACTACTACTATACTAGAAGGCTAATACAAAATGGAAACATTATATAAAATGAAGTAGATACTGTGCATTAGAAGAGAATTTATCTGAAGTGGTAATCGGTGTTGTCAATTTTAAAAATAGACACCCTATTTTTTTTTTAAATTTAACAAATGTTAAAAGTCCAAAAATATTTATTAAGAGATGTTTCTATGCAGATTGAGTTTTCTGTTACACACTGCCAGATTGGATTAATTACGTTTTTCCTTCAAAAGGCACACTGGTTGCAAAACTAGGCTTGGGATGGGGATGGGGGCTTTTCCTTTAGCAGGTATACCCAAGCTGGGTCTTAACTTGTCTTGTAGGATGTCTTATAGGCTGTATTATTCTTCTCCCTTACCGAAACAACTACTAGGGGTGTGATTTACACACAGGAATACATACAAGGATTTGACATCCCTGTATGCCTGCTTTCAATAAAACTTGTTTATTTTAGATGTATAAACAGTACCTAGACTGAAGTTAGTGTTCACTTACACTGTGCTGAAATTAGATGGGCACTAGGGGTGTATCCAAAGTTACTCTTACCTGGATTAGATCCACTGAAAATAATGGACACGACTCCCTTGAGTCCATTAATTTCCGAGATCTAATCTAACTTAGTTGCATACTGTTCTAAAAGTGTGGAAGTCAGACCGTGACCTTAAAAATAAGTCTCCAGGCCTCCTCTTTGCTGATGCTACTCCTTTAATGCGAAGTACATTTCTTCCTGGATAAAGCGGGGCTAATGAGGCTGTTTCGCGGTACTGTGTTCACACTGAATTGCCCCACCCCTTGAGAGACCAGGGTTTCACCCGCCAGCATTCCACGTTTACCAGCTTCAGGAAACGTCGGAATGCCTGTCCAGGATTACAAAACAACTCCTGAAAATGAAGTGGACTCACCCCAGCCTGGAGTGGGGCGCTTTGCTGAGAAAGCGCCTCAAGAGCGGAAGGCATCCCGCAGCGGACATGTGCGCACCCCGCCGCTACCAGCGAGAGAAGGAAGCGCGCCTTGGACTACAACTCCCGCGAAGCAATGCGGGCGGGAGGGAAAGCGAGAGGGCATGCTGGGAGTTGTAGTCCGAAGCTGCTCTCACGGCCGCCTCTTCAGCGAGTCCTAGGCTCGCTCCCTCACTAGCCTCTTCACCCGGGCCCAAGCGGTGGGCGTTTCTTCTGAGTCACATGACGGGAAAGGGTGGCCGGTGATTGGCTGAGGGGAGGCGCTTCCGGCGTAGGCCGGCTTGTTTGGGTATTACCGTCACACTATGGCGGCGCGCAGAGCTGAGCTAGCGTGTGTCGACGGCAGCCGCGCTGTGGGGACCGGACCGAGTCCTGCACAGGAGCAGCGAGAGGGGCAGGAGAAGGCGGCGGCGCGGGCGTCAGGAGGCGGCTCTGAGGTAAGAGCCCGCCCTTACCGTTCTCCGTTGCGCGGGCGAGGGGCGCCTGCTCTCCACGCGGCCGCTGCCCCGTGGCGCAGTGGAAACGGCAAGGGGCTTCTCGAAGGGCTCCCTGAGGAAACGGGGCACGGTGCCCCCAGGAGCGTCGCGCGCGCCTGCTCTTCTTGGGTGTGTGGCGACTCGGGGCAGACGCCCTTGGGGAGGTGAGGGCTTCAAGTACGTTTCGGGGCACAGGAACCGAAGCTGGGCTGCCCGTGGCGACCGCTGGGTAAACGACAGTTCAGCTAATCCGGTTCTTGCGTTTCTCTGTCTCCCGGGGTGTTATGACTTCCCCGCCAAAGGGCCGGCAGGCCGTTCTCGCGTAGCCGCACAAAGTCGTAACGACTGCAGCAGCAGGAAGAGATGTCTCTTAATAGGATTTTGTGCGCAAGGTGATATTAATATTTTCCAGCCCTCCTTCCTGGCGAGGGATGGGAGTCAGATACAACAAAATCATATCGATATGGGTTTGCCATACGGATCTCCCAGGCGTTGCTAACAAACACCTGTTCAGAACAGTGGCGTAGTGTGGGGGGTGCAGGGGGGGCCGGCCGCACCGGGCGCAACATCTGGGGTTAGGGCAAATCCACAGGTTAGGGGGCGCAAATCCACGGGTTAGGGGGCGCAAATTACTTGCCTTGCCCCGGGTGCTGACCACCCACGCTACGCCACTGGTTCAGAAGGTAGCCTTGCGAGCTTATGTGTGGGCACGCACTGGTTGCCTGTCTGCCTCTTTTAGCCAAACCAAAAATGCGGATCGTTGTTTTTGCTTCTCTCTCACACGCTGGTGCCCAGCAGCAACTGCGAAGGCCCTAGGTCAGTATAGAAAGGTAAGAAGGATGGACAAAGGCATTGAAACAGCTTTGTCCAAAAGCAACACTAAAAGCCCCTGTGAATTTTTTTCCGTTGGAAAAACAGGCTGGGATGTGTGTGTTGGTTTGAGCAGTGGGCAAGAAAGCCATCCATACAACATGTCCTTCATGAAAGGCAAGTGGAAATATGCTGGCTTGGACACTGTCACTCAGGAGTCCTCTGTGCAGCAGCCAAGGAAGCCTTTCCTCTGGCCTTTCCTGATCCAGAGCCTAAAAGAGCAGATGGCTTGATGACATGACCCTGCTTGCCAAAGCAAATCTTAGAGTTAGAAGACTGGTTGCTAATCAGGTTTGTCCAAGGACAGCGGGACACTTGTTACAGTGAACAAAAAAGACTTGAGTACTTGCTTGGATATCTATTATGTACTATTGGAAGAAAATTTTGCTTATGTGGGGTGGTAAATACCAGTAAAATGTAACATGTGAAAAAGGGTGTTTGGCTATATTTTGCTACATATCTGAGATGTGAAGTGTGCAAAATATGGGAAAGGGGAAGACACCTTTTACTTCTCCCAGTATTATGCTTATGTAAAATGAATTAATCCTGCATACTGAACAGGGAGCTTACAACATATAATAAAAGCAACAACCGGATAATAAAGCAAGACTGCAGTCCTCACCCTAGTTAGAGGGGAGTTAACCACATTGAATTCAGTAGGACTTTTAAGTAGATTGTGCTGCAGAAGAATAATTTATTAATATTAAATCTGACTAGACAGTGAGCTTTAGCAACAACAGCCATTTCAAATCTCACCAAATGGTTAAAAGCAAAATTTTAATTGGTTCTTAAAACTCAAGGAAGGTTGGAAAAGTTCAAAAGAAAGGCTCTGTCTCTTGTAGCCACCCACCTTAGTTCAGAAGGTAGCGGCACATAGAGACATCCAAGGTCTCAAAAGGTAGATTCCTATGGGAGCAGGCTGCAACATTTAAAACTTTAAAATATCAAAAACAAAAAATTAATGTGTGTCCTTAAGCACATAAGAATTCTGTGAAGTTTTTAAAGATGGTTCTTTCTGTTCATACCAGACAACAACAGGTATGTTCTGGACTAGCTATTCTTGTGTGAAATATATTCACTTCCATAATGGACAGGAATATCTTGGTAACATCTAACATAGATTACTGCAGACCATAAATAATTTGAGAGACCATGCTTTTGTGTGAAGAGCTGTAGTTTAATGTAATTGCTTTAAAAATATGTGTAAATGTCACTGCCGTTTAGAAGTACAGGGGATGACAATTTTGTATGTGCTCAAAGCAAGTGTCATGTTTTCAAACCCAAATGATAGCAGGTCAGGCTTCTGCGCGATCTACCGACATGCATGATGATGCAGAACACAAGCCCTGTGCAAATCAGGGGTTGTTTGTATACTGTTTGCTCAGTTGCTGGGTAGGGGAGTATTTAAAACATATCATTCTCCTTCATATCATTCTCCTACCTAGAATATCTTTCCACAGGCCCCTAGCCTGCAGAGCCAGTATTATTTAGCATAGTCAAAGTTTGTATCTTAGCACAGCCATGAACTCCAGTATGGTATAAATTTTGCTTTTGCTCCAGATAAAAGAAGGGGGAAATTTTGTTATACAGATGGAACACGATGGCTCAGACCCTACCTTTTTAACAGTTTGCCCTTTATTCTTGATGTATGAATACGTAGTTTGTTAGATAGCTTTTAAATATGGATTGGAAGCAAAATTACATCAGGATAAATATACAAATAATGACTATATAATCCATAACCAAACTCTATATTGTTAGGTAAAACAAGATAAATCTAACATTGAAACAATAATTGTGCATTTGCTGTAGATTGATTTTACTGTACAAAAATTAAAGAATGACCACATTTTAGCAAGCTTTCTCCACTTGTTTCTTTGACCCTTAATTAGGTCATTTAACTATAGATGAAAATTCCCACAAGACCTTTTCTGTTTAAGATGATATGCTCATAAGTCTCCCAATATTTTGCATATAGAAATATTGGTGCTGTCACAAAATGTTGGTTCCTTGTCCTTTTTTTCCTGTGCCGCAACAGTTTGTCAGGAAAAGAGAAGTTCTATTTTCATTCTTCCTTTTTTTGGCCAGTCTTTACCGAAGATTCCAACAGGCTAAATTAATAGCTTTTTCTTTTCTAATAAGTAGAGCATCATATATTTTCATTACCTTAATTTCCCTTTATGACCCTATTTCAATAAAAATTGTGGTCAATATTCCATAAACTTTCCCAACCTAATCCGTAGCTTGTTTCCTAAAGCTGGAGCCCAGTTAACCATGCATCTCTCCCCTTACCCGCAAAGCAAATACCATCGAGTGTGCTGATGGAATCTTTCAAATGCTGAAACTGCAGGGTCTGCATAAAAGGCGGATCTACACGGATCCTCATGGATCCTCCACTTTTTAAAAAATTATTCCAACAAATGCAGTGTCAAATCACACATGGAAGGCACGCCTACAAACTGGACTATAAAAAACGTGGATCCAACACTTTGCCGCGCTGCAGCACCATAAAAACATGGATCTGAGGCACGGATCCTCATGAATTCATATGATTTTTATATTGAAACAAAATAAAAACACCATGCTACTGTAGACCACATCTTAGTCTGTAGGAGGAACCAAAAAAATCACGCATCCACTGTTTCGTGGTGCCGCAATGGCGCAAAAACATGGTTAAAAAACACGGATCCTCATGAATCCTCATGATTTTTGCACTAGATCAGCCCAAACTCACTTTCAAATTACACATCATGTCCAGGGGCACAACATCCACCAGAGAAATCACGGATCCATGGCTTCCTGGCCATACCATGGCCCAAAAACGTGGTTTTCAAGAACAGATCCTCATGGATCCTCACACTTTTTGCATTGGACCAACCCAAACTCACCCTCAAATCACACATCATAGCCAGGGGCACAGCCTACACCACAAAAAACTCAGATCCACGCCTGCCTGGCCACGCCCTGGCCCAAAAACGTGGTTCCGAAGCACGGATCCTCATGAATCCTCATGATTTTTGCACTAGATCAACCCAAAGTCACCATCAGATCAAACATCATGGCCATGGGCACAGCATCCACCACAAAAATCACGGATCCATGGCTTCCTGGCGAAACCGTGGCCCAAAAACGTGGTTTTCAAGAACGGATCTTCATGGATCCACACGCTTTCTTTATCGGGCCAACCCAAACTCACCGTCAAATCACACATCATTCCCAGGGGCACAGCCTGCACCACAAAAAACTCGGATCCACAGCTTCCTGGCCACTCCATGGCCGAAAAATGTGGTTCCGAAGCACGGATCCTCATGGATCCTCACGCTTTTTGCGTTGGGCCACCCCAAACTCACCGTCAAATCACACATCATGTCCAGGGGCACAGCCTGCACCACAAAAAACTCGGATCCACGGCTTCCTGGCCACTCCATGGCCCAAAAACGTGGTTTTGAAGCACGGATCCTCATGGATCCTCACGCTTTTTGCATTGGGCCACCCCAAACTCACCGTCAAATCACACATCATGTCCAGGGGCACAGCCTGCACCACAAAAAACTCGGATCCACGGCTTCCTGGCCACTCCATGGCCCAAAAAGGTAGTTTTAAAGCACGGATCCTCATGGATCCTCACTCTTTTTGCATTGGGCCAACCCAAACTCACTGTCAAATCACACATCATGTCCAGTGGCACAGCCTGCACCACAAAAAACTCGGATCCACGTCTTCCTGACCATACCGTGGCCCAAAAACGTGGTTTTGAAGCACGGATCCTCATGGATCCTCACGCTTTTTGCATCGGGCCACCCCAAACTCACCGTCAAATCACACATCATGTCCAGAGGCACAGCCTGCACCACAAAAAACTCGGATCCACGGCTTCCTGGCCACTCCAAGGCCCAAAAACGTGGTTCCGAAGCACGGATCCTCATGGATCCTCACGCTTTATGCACTAGATCAGCCCAAACTCACCGTCAAATCACACATCATTCCCAGGGGCACAGCCTGCACCACAGAAAACTCGGATCCACGGCTTCCTGGCCACACCATGGCCCAAAAACGTGGTTTTGAAGCACGGATCCTCATGGATCCTCACG